GCCAAGATTGATAAATGCTGGCCTAGAAGTTGATCAGGAGAATCTCTGTTCCAATGTCATAAAAAAAAGCATAACTAACTTTGTAAGTGATCTGATAAAGTACCTCTACCACCCCAGACAGCATTATTCAAATAAATTCTGTTCATAGAAAATAAATCTTGGTATTTGGGTTGCAAGTTTTATGATTTCCATATGAATCAGGAGCCTACATTGTAAGGTGGCAACACTTGCATTTGTAAGTAGGACTTGCGACTCTTCAGAGAGTCAGACAGGTATCTTTTCGGCTCTACCTAGAGATGTAAAGAATTAAATAGAGGACCTCTGGCATTTAAAACAGAAGCTTTGTTGTTGCTTTCATCTTGCTTCTAAGTTATTGGCCATTTCTCTTCATTTTTATTTCACCTTTGGTTTAGATTTGGGTTTCAGCAAATAAAGCTAAATATCTTGAGATAGTTTTCTTGTTTTTAAAAAATATGATAGCCTCATTGGGATTGTAAAGGGAGTTCTAGGCAAATAAAATCCCTGTTCATAGCATTATAATAAAAATGTGCTGCTTATCCTTTGGAATTTTAGAAAAAGAAGAAACATACTGTGCAAGCATCAAACAAAACTCTTCACATTGATGAAATCACAGCTGTCCAGTTTTATTGTTTATTTTACCTAAATATAATAATAGATAAATAAAATGCCTTCTGAAACTACAGTAATCTGGCTAGAATTAACCACAAGATTTGTTTGTGCATCTGTGTATATAAATGCATAAGCATTTGAAGTGAACTGCTTTCTAAGAATTTGTCTAGTCAAAATTTGTAATAATTTAATTTAATTTAATTAGTTCAATTTATATGCCGCCTTTCTCTGGAGACTCAGGGCAGCTTACAGTGCATTAAAAAAAAAAACCCATTATAAAAACATTTAAAAATTAAAACATTAAAACCCACTCACACCATTCATGGCCGGATCTCACAAGATCGCAACAGCGAGATCAACGGCCCCAGGCCTGCCGGAAAAGCCAGGTCTTCACCGCTTTTCGGAAGGCCAATAGGGTGGGGGTGGTCCAGACCTCAGGAGGTAACTGGTTCCAGAGAGCTGGGGCAGCCACAGAGAAGGCCCTCCCCTGCAGGCCCGCCAGCTGGCATTATTTAGCTGATGGGACCCAGAGGAGACCAACTCTGTGGGATCTTACCAGTCACTGGGAGCTATGTGGTAGAAGGCAGTCTTGAAGATAACCTGGCCCTGAGCCATGTAGGGCTTTAAAGGTAATAACCAACACCTTGAATTGTGCCCGGAGACCAATAGGGAGCCAGTGCAGCTCGCGGAGAATTGGTGTAATGTGGGTGTATCTAGGTGCACCCACGATAGCTTGCGCAGCTGCATTCTGGACCAACTGTAGTCTCCGAACACTTTTCAAGGGTAGCCCCATGTAGAGCGTGTTGCAATAATCTAACCGTGAGGTGACAAGGGCATGAGTGACTGTGAGGAGAGCCTCCTGATCCAAGTAGGGTCGCAATTGGTGCACCAGGCGAACCTGTGCAAAGGTCCCCCTAGTCACAGCTGTCAGATGTTGCTCTAATCTTAGCTGTGAGTCTAGGAGGACACCCAAATTGCGAGCCCATTCTGAGGGGGACAATATCTCTTTAGTTTTTACATAGGAAAGCTGTACATCAAATTCAATAATTTATAAGAAACTTCATCAAAATCTGAAAGTGAACATTTTACAACTGGACACTTTTGCACAAATTATATGATTACAGACACACACACACAAACAAACACAATTAACCTAGTGGCGCAGCAGACTAATAGCCTGTTATTAACATTCAGCTGCCTGCAATTACTGCAAGTTCGAATCTCCCCAGGCTCAAGGTTGACTCAGCCTTCCATCCTTTCTAAGGTAGGTAAATTAAGGACCCAGTTTGTGGGGGCAATAAGCTGACTTTGTATAAATATACAAAAGTATGAAGGCTACTGCTTAGCACATTGTAAGCCGCTCTGAGTCTCCGGAGAAGGGCGGCATATAAATCAAATTTTTTTAAAAAAAAACTACCATATTTGCTATGATTACTCAATAAAATTAAGCCAGACTTGAATAGACTAAGAGCCATTCTAAAGCCTTTTTATATTTGCTTTGCTGCAGCAGAATTTCTGGACCCATATATATTTATGCAATGGCTCAAGTTTAAAATAGCAATATCAATATATTTTTATTAAGTGCTGCAGTAGCTTGAGGGAAAGGCATTAACTGAATGATGATTTCTCATCATCCAATTGGTCAGCTGGAAGAAACACTGATTGGCTGATAGTAATGAGCATACACTTAGTGTTCAAAAATTAGAGAATTGAACATGAACACATGGCCAGTTTTCAAATGGATTCAAGGGACTGTGGACTGGAAATGGTGTTGGAAGAAAACAGTAAACTAAAATTCAATAAAGTAAAACATACACATTGTACTCAAATTTTATTCTGTATTTATAAAATGTGAAATGCCATACTATCTGTACAGTTTTCACAGTGCTTTGCTAAATCCTTATGATATTGTTTGATCAATGAACCTTGAATTGCAATTTAGTCTTACAGAACCCCCAGAGGAAAATAACTAGAGCAATGTTTCTAAAAAAAAAAATTTCTAATGCTTTGCTGTCATCAAATAGTTGTCTTAATTTATTCAACCCAGACGCAATGTCTTTATTTAAAAAAAAAACACTTTCCTACAGCTAAAAAAAAGCCATATAAATACTCTGGTTCCATGCCATATAGAGATTTATAAGTAATAATCAGTATCTTGAATTGTACCCAGAAGCAAATTGGGAGCCAGGGCATTTGACAGAGCAAAAGTGTAACATGGACTTAATGGACCATCTGAATCTTCTGAATGTTCTTCGGGGTCAGCCCTATATACAGTGCAATGCAGTAGTCTATTTGGAAGATTACCAAAGCATGAATGATCATGTATGGGGCTTGCTTATCCAAGAAGAGGCACAACAAAGAGCTGTGGGAAAGCCCTTGGTCACATCTGTTACCTGCTGTTTGTAGACCCCAAATTGTGCAATAATACTGTCTGATGCAGAATTAAAGACTGGAAATCATCAGCTCCAAGATACCTAAAACCCAAAGTACTCCATCTTTCTGTGATTGAACTGTATCTTCACTTTTCCCATGCAGAACCCACAGAAACCAGGCAATGAGATAAAACCTGAATGGCATCATTTGGTTATTCAGAACAGAGATATGGAGCAGGGTATCATCAGTGTATTGATGACACCACACCTCAAGATGTTGCATGACCTTATCCAGTGTCTTCAAGTAGTTAAACATGAGCAGGGAGATAGTTGAGCCCTGAGGCATTCCACACAATAGGAGCTGTGAGACATCCCCGCATCCCTCATTGACACTGACTGGAACAAACTGCAGAGGAAGGTTGAGAAGCAGCATAAAACAATATCCCAATTCCTAACTCCTGGAGCTTGTCCAGAAGGATACCAGACTTGATAGTATCAAAGGTTGCTAAAATGAACACTGTATTTCCATCATGCTTCCTCCAGAGATCATTCACAGGTGCAATCAACACTGTTTCATTCAGGACCCTTTGATGGCAGAAGGCAAACACCTTTTCAACGATCTTCCCTGAAATTTTGCCCAAAACAAAATTTAGGTTTAGAATGTTTCATGAGGAGAGATCATGCCCGTGGTCTCTTTAAAGGACAGCAGAACTGCCTCCCTCACAAGGATGCACTCATGCTGCTTAGACTTACCATACACAATTTCCCAATTTCCCAGCCTTGGCTAGCTCAGTTAAGGATAAAGGTGAGATGGCCAAACTTTAAACTCTAACAATCCTGCCCACTTTCTCAAGATTAACAGGACCAAACTCAGCCCTAATAACTGAACTAGGATGTATTTCAAGTCTACTCCAAATGACATGCACTAAAGCTAAGATCTAATTTATGCTAACCATAGTTAGGAATTCATTCTATAGTTTTAGCTTCAGATTTATGCTTCCATTTTATACCTGCTCAAGGCTCAGCTCCATAAAGTCATAAATGCATTCTCGTTATACTGGTGGGACAAATTTTTGAGACAGAGCCTTCCTTTTCAGTCTTAAATTTTAAAAAATTGTTTGCTGGCATTCAATCAAGTCATAATTTTAAATTATCCTAATCCAAATAGTCCGTTATAAAAAATGTTATGAATACTGACTATAATACTATTCAATTTGAGATCCCTCCTTTTCTCTCAATTATAAAAATATATTTTTGATGGCAAAGATTTTGAGTTATGTTTGTTCCTGCTACCTCTTTGGTTAAATATTTATAACTTAATATTGATCAACAAACATCAGCATGTAAAATGACCAAGATTGAGAAAGAAAAATTGATTGCTCAAGAAACAGGAACCGTGTAACATTTTGAAGGGAATTTTTTTCCTAATCACTCTTTTTAAATTCAATTGTAGGAGATTGGTTTGCTTAATAAGGGAGAAGGGACAGGATCTGATATCCCTGGTCTATCAGATTTAAATCCTATTCAATTTCAACTCCATATTGGACTAGTTCTTTATCTAAACTCTATTTTCTGACTTTATTTGGGAATCACAGTTGATGTACAAACATGTTGCAATAACGTGTAAATTATAAAATCAAATTACTGTTGTCCAACTAGACTGAAAATATTAATTTTTGATTACAAGGCAACATTATATGGCCCATTGTCATCCAACATATTCTGTAAACTTTAAAAATATTATCATGGCACTGATGATGAAAGTGGAGGAATATGGCTGGAGGAATTGGCCTTCTCTTTCCAAGCTGTGCTATTAGAAAATATAGAATATTGAGATATCCTATCTGTAGGACCATTAGACAGAAGCATAAGTGTTTCACAATTTGTCTAAATTAGGATTAGATAAACAAGTCTTGCTTCATAAACAAGACTTTGCCTTTCATCCTAAAGTTGCATCATAAGCACTCTTTAAGCTTGAATTTGTTGATTTTGTTGTAGGACGAAGGAAAATGCAGACCACTGGAAGTAACAAAGGTCGAAGGTGCTGAAATTGGCATGGATAACAGCCTGGGCAAGCCTTTTGCATTTAAATGTGTTCCTCGGGCTGGAAACAGGGTTTTTTATTTCCGTGCTACATCAGCCCAAGAAATGAAGAGGTACATTCCACTCACTGAAATAGTATGTTTTCTCTTTTTTTGTGCTGCATTTATTAAATTATGTAACAGGAATACTCATCAGCCTGTTGTGGAAGGGAGAGAGAACAAACATATGGCACTCTGACTTAATTACAGTTCTCTCTTTCTCTGGCAAGGATTGTCTCTGTTAGCATTTTGTTATTCCCAGTAGGGTGGGGTTGGGGGGGGGCTTGGAGTCATTTCTCTTTTTTCTTTAATGTAGCAGTTGTGTTAGATCACATCAGAATTATATCTGGTCCAAGATTCTATTTTTCACATGACCAACAAGAGCTCTACCAAATGTTCAGAAGAAAAAAAAGAAGGTTGTAATGCTTTCCTCTATACTATTCCTTGTCTATTCATAGACATATTGTGTCTGCCAGAACTCCCATTAGTGTAATTCCTCGGTGTCATATGTGTGTGTGTGTGTGTATGTACTCCAGAAGCACCATCCCTGTTACTGACCACTAGCAGTACTGATGATCAAGATAATAGCAAGGAGTGTTCCTTTCATTCCACTCTGTCTCTACAGATAACCTTCATTTAGTAACCACAACCAGAACCAGTAACTGGGTGGTTAAGTGAAGTGGTTTCTAAGTAAAACTGTAATTGTGCCTATGAACTTCACCTTTCTTTTGCTTTGCAATGTGAGGATTGGTCCTAAAGTTACTTTTTCATCATCATCATCATTATTGCAAACAATTATTAAACAAGACAGGACTTGTTTGAGGACTACCTGTACACTGCTTTTGTCTGATTGAAAGATTGATACTTTTAGGCACTGTCTTCAGCCTTCTACCTACTGAAAGAACAAAATACTCTTCCTTCTCCTCTCCACACCCTCACAACGAGGATGCAAGTGTTACCTCAAAGCAAGTTTCTTAATATAAACAGTTTTGTTTTATTACCTGGCTCTAGATAATCTTAACTGCTCTACTTACGCACAATGTGGGTTTGTTTGTTTGTTTGCTTGGTGCTTTGAGTCAGTGTTGACACATGGTAACTACCTAGTTTAGTTCTTGCAGTTACCTTGTCAATATTTTTGGAAGTGGTTTTCCATTGCTTGCTTTGTAGAATTGACTGACAGTGCCTGGCCCAAGTTCATCCAGTTAGCTTCATATCAGGGGCAGAGGGTGGGGTGGCTTGAACTCACAGTCTCCCAGATTCTAGTTACCGGTTTATGCCTTAACCACCACATCAAACTTACTCACTTGAGCAAATGTGTATGCTAAATTCACAGCTCAGAGAAGGAACTAGGTGTTCCAGTGAGTTACCATCCATTCTTTTGGACTAGACAAGTAGAGTAATATCAAATGTGCACAGCTCAAGAGGCTTCCATCTTTTCTTGCATAAGCCTTTCAATTGCTGTTAGTCAATGCATTACTCTTTTCTTCCAGACAAAACTATACCTTTTTGTATTTTTCCCCAAAGGTGGGTAGATATCATGGAAAAAGCTGCACATCCTATTCATCAGGTAATATGATTTTTAAAATATTAAAAGTAAGTTTATTGTTTGATATAGAGGTTAGGGGAGACTGGAACCTCAGGGCAGATATGAAGGGATGCTGGGGGTTGATCACTTTTAAAGATGCTAAGCTCACCATCTGAATTACAATCCAATGTCCAATTTATAGGACCTCCTCTAAAAGCCAGGTTACAACTGGCTACAATTCTGGCTGTTGAATGCCAGGTCATTCTGTAATAAATCTGTCCTCATACATGATTTGATAATGGATGAGAGAGCTGACCTGGTTTGTATCATTGAAACCTGGGTAGGCCAAGACAGAGCTTTTCCCTCTCAGAGATGTGACTACTTTGGTTTTATGTTGGCCCTCAGAGGATCTGCCCTGCAGATAACCAAGTGAGAGACTATCTGAAGAAGACTGTTGCTGTTGTACTATCCTCCCTGCTGCACAGTATCTTCCCTGCCTGAGCTTCTGGTTCGATTGCTGGGTTGGTGATTGAAACCCAGGAGTGAAATCCAGCAGGTTCTGACAGGTTCTGGAGAACCGGTAGCGGACATTTTTAGTAGTTTGCAGAACCGGCAAATACCACATCTGGCTGGCCCCAGAGTGGGGTGGGAATGGAGATTTTGCAATATCCTTCCCCTGCCATGCCCACCAAGGCACACCATGCCCACCAAGCCACGCCCACAGAACCGGTAGTAAAAAAAATAGAATTTCCCTACTGTTGAAACCCTTAGTCTTGCCATACTTAGAAATTTCAATTTACTGCCCAGTGACATTGAGTCTGGAGTAGCTTAGTAGGTCATGATTTCCATGGCAGCTATGGACCTGTTCAAGTCATCAGGTCCCAAGCATACTGAAGGTTGCACACTAAAGCTAGTTTTTGTCTTGAGGCAGAATCACTATATTTTTTTTTGGATCAACATCTGGAATTAGGGGTGAGAGGCATTGTTTTACATTGGTTCTCCTCCATTCTCTGTTTGGTTTCAATTAGTGTTCATTACTAGGGAAAGATTCTGCACATGACTCCTCACCTGTGAGATCCTCAAAGTTTGACATTCTCACCAATTCACTCTGTGTGTGTGTGTGTGTGTGTGTGTGTGTGTGTGTGTGTGTGTGTGTATGCATGTACTGCATTCAAACACATGCACGCACACATACTCATAAGCTGCCCAGAGGTATCTGAAGAGGGATGGCCAGTCAATGCAATAAAAAAAATAAACTTCTGGAATAAATGGCATTATCATAGCCATTTTGTTTTCTTCCTAGTGTTTTCTCACACATGCAGGGCCCCCCCCTTGCATATCCCCAGATCCTTGGGAAGAACTGAAAGGTGGATAAAAATGCCAAACCTAGTCTCAATATCTGGCTGACTGTGCAACAAACCATAATAAATGCAAATGTTTTATGGGTATTTCAGCTCAGGCTTGAAGCATGAGTCAGTATAACAAAGCTCATCCTTGACAGTGAGAAATAACTGCAACTGGATGCTCAATCATCTAATTGTGTCGATGACAGGGCTGCCCCTTAGAAACTTCTCAAACTTCTGTGACATTTTAAAGGCTAGGAAACTTACGTGCAATAAAATATCATGGATTAAAGTTGCTTTATCAGCTACAATCCACAGGAATTTATGATAAATTATTTTTTTTCAAGAGACTTAGATGTCATGAAGTTGATTTATAAGCAAACTTTGGAGTGAACGTTGATGCCTAAAAATAGTTTCTGGTATTACATTTTAATTGCCTCATTTAAGGGCCCTATTTAGGAAGCATATCAAATAATTATCCGTTGAATTAAGAAGTACCTTCTTTTAACAATAACTTTATTGTCATTGTATGTGTATACACACTATACCCATACAATGAAATTCACTTAACACCCAAAGACCAGGTCCAACACACATAACAATCCCCAAACATACCACCTCACAGCACAAATTTCCCACCCCTAAACCACCCAAACATCCACACAACAGACCAAGTAATGCTGTCCAACAGCTCACTGATGGTGGTCCTTTAGTTCATTGTTGAGTGCAATTATAGCTCTGGGGTAAAAACTATTCAGAAAACATGTGGTCCGAGTTTTAATTGTTCACTACTTAAGCAAAATTTCTACTACCATTAGATATATTTCTCAATATATCTCAATATATCAAATAAGTGTTTCTTGACGTCATGAAATGGTCACTTATAGCAAATGTAATAATGTTTAAGAATTGAATGTAGTAGACATTCTTGTGATAGAAGGGCACAAATTGGATATGACAGACGTTTAGCCCTAAAAATGAAAGGCATTCATTGTATACTGAGCATATAATTGATTAGTCCACTTTTAAACACATGTAGAGATGTTTGCATGTCAGCAGTTTCTGTACAAGTGGGGAAAATTTACTTATTTTCTAATGTTAACATACAGAACCATGTGTGGGAAGATGTCACCATGCACAATACAAGCCTTCCACCACTTGCTATCAAAAACCCAGAGTGCCTGGGGCTCCTTCACCAGCTGGACAAAACCAAGAATATATGGGTTCAACATTATTGCATTTTGAAAGATGGCTGTTTATATTTTTATGCTAGCATACGTTCTACACATGCTGTTGGTAGGTGGATCTGCCTTTCTGTTTTGCATCCTTTTTCCTCTTTAGAGAAATTGTCCTCAGTTACATAAAATAGTTTATAATATCTTGTTATATTGTGTTAATGGTAATATTATTATAATTCTAATGTTATATAAACTTCCATAGCATTTTGAATTATGCTAGAAAAAGCAATGATCTTCCCCCACTAATTTATTTTATATCCTTCTTAAAATATGTAAGGTAGTTATATAACATACATATTTAGACATCATTATAGCAAATGGGACAGCTGATTGCATCTTCCATATGCTAAATGTGTGAGGACAGCCTTCTATTTAGCATCTGTGTATATTAGAGCCAAAAAAAGATTGTGGTGAAATATAGAGAAATGTAGATGTGTAGACTCAGAGCCAAACCAAAGCCCGGGATGTTGCATCACAGCTATCTGCTCAAGACAATACATCACAGAACTCAGGATGTTACAACACTAAAGCTCAGGATGTTACAACACTAAAGCTCAGGATATTACAACACAGCCAACTACCCAGGATGTTGCAGCACAGGACTCAGGATGTCACAACACTAGAGCTCAGGATGCTACCACACAACCCATTACTCAGGTCATTACAACACAAAAGACTAATGGGCACACAGCTAGAACCTCGCCCACACAGGATGTTATGAAACAGCCGACTAATCTGCAAACATCAACTCCATCTACTAATCAAGATGTAACAACACAGCCAACCAACCCACTTACAACAACAAAGCCAGCACTCTACACCTCCCCACCAGTATTTATAGAGAGATGGCATCTGTCTCTCTCTCTCTCTCTCTCTCTCTCTCTCTCTCTCTCTCTCTCTCTCTCTCTCTATATATATATATATATATATATATATATATATATATATATATATATATATTAGGAGCATAATATTGTAGTGTTTTTCTTTCACTGTGGTCAGTTTCAGTCATTTTTGGCAGAAGGTAGAAGTCAGAGCCAAGGGCCCTGGTTTGTGGGATCCCTCAGAACTATGGCATGCTTTGGGTCCTATTTAGGACCCAACTATGGCATGCTATTGGGTCCTAATCATCTCATGGGCTCCAACAGGGCAGTTATCTCTGCTGTCATGATTGTGACTTTGTTGTTTTAATTTTTATAAACTGCCCAGAGATTCACGGCTGAGTGATTAGCCAGAGAAATTAAATGTTTAAATAAATAAAAATAATTAAATTAAGCTTAAGTTAGTCACATTTATATGTTTTATAATTTTTTCCAGATTTTTCTTTTATATCTCCTGAAAGCCCAAGTTCATATGTTCATTTTCCTCACACTGGTGAAACAGCCTCTTGAGATAGAGTAACTCCTAGTCCCATGGTACAGTAGACTCTTGAGACAGAGCAATCCTGCTTTAAAATACTAAAATTCAGAATTGCTGAATTTATTTATTTATTTATTTATAATTTAATTTATACATCGCCCCCCTCCCGAAGGACTCGGGGCAGTGTACAGCCAATTAAAAACACAAAATACAACAACAGTTTTAAAATAGTTAAAAGTATTAAATAATTTCGGCCAGAATTTAAAACCCAAAATTTAAAACACCAATTTAAAAATCATTTACATAGATAGCCCTGCCTGGCGGAACAGCAGGATCTTAAGGGCACAGCGAAACACACAGAGGTCGGAGATCTTGCGTATTTCCGGGGGCAGTTCATTCCCCAGGGCAGAAGCTCCCACAGAGAAGGCCCTTCCCCTGGGTGTCGCCAGCCGGCATAACTTGGCCGATGAGGAGTCCCTCTCTGTGGGAGCGAATTGGCCGGTGGGAGGCTACTGGTGGCAGAAGTCGGTCTTGAAGGTATCCAGGTCCTGAGCCATGGAGTGCTTTAAAGGTGGTAACCAACTCCTTGAATCGCATCCGGAACACCACTGGGAGCCAGTGCAGCTCTCACAGGAGAGGTGTCACATGGGCGCAACGAGTCGCGCCCATAACCACCCACGTGGCCGCATTCTGGACCAGCTGGAGCTTCCGAGTGCTCTTCAAGGGGAGCTCCATGTAGAGAGCATTACAGTAGTCCAGCCGGGAGGTGACAAGGGCATGAGTGACCATGCGTAAGGCGTCCCGGTCCAAAAAGGGCCGCAACTGGCGGATCAGGCAGCTACCTGTATTTTATGATGCATTCTCTAAAGCATGAAACTTTAATTCAAAAGTCCTTTTCCAGATTGGTTTTCAGGCTTTTCATAACCCAAATATAATAGTGAGAATTAACTGATAGTCTTAGTAGCCTTTTAAATGATGAGTAGGAGTCTTTCCCATCACATCTTTTGGAGTTTTTCCAGTATCCTTTGCCATTTACATATTATCTTTTTTTTTTAGGGGGCATTTATTTGCAGGGTTACACTGTGAGTGAACAAAGCCTTGGTTCCAGAAGATATGTGATTGAAGTAAAGCCACCTTCAGAAGAGTTTACTGCTTTCTACTTATGTGCCGAAAGTGTCAATGAAAACCAGCGGTAAATCATTTCACCTTTTTTCCAACTATTTGTTTATTTTTCCTCCTCTGGTATATTTCTACTTCCTGTTCCTACTTTACGGTAAGTGCAGAAAAGAGAATAGAATAGAATAGAATAGAATAACAAAGTTGAAAGGGATCTTGGAGGTCTTCTAATCCAACCTCCTGTTTAGGCAGGAAACCCTGCATCACTTCAAAGAAATGATTATCCAACGTCTTCTTAAAAACTTCCAGTGTTGGAGCATTCACAACTTCTGGAGGCAAGTTGTTCCACTGATTAATTGTTCTAACTGTCAGGAAATTTCTCCTTAGTTCTAAATTGCTTCTCTCTTTGATTAGTTTCCACCCATTGCTTCTTGTCCTGCCCTCAGGTGCTTTGGAGAATAGCTTCGCTCCCTCTTGTTTGTGGCAACCCTTGAGATATTGAAACACTGCTATCATGTCTCCCCTAGTCCTTCTTTTCATTAAACTAGACATACCCAGTTCCTGCAACTGTTCTTCATATGTTTTAGCTTCCAGTCCCCTAATCATCTTCCAAACCAGCCTCCAGTCCCTAGAAAAGCCTAATTATTTAAAAGGGAGCTCTAATTGTTTTCAAATAAAAATATGAATATTCATACTTATACAAAAATAAATAATGTTGGTCTTTAAAGATAATTTTTGTAGTTGTCATGGGCTGCAACTCACTTCATCGAATAGAAGCATTATCCAAAACTGACAAATTTTATGTATTTATATAAAATGGGTTTTAAAGAGCTTTCTCTATATATAAACTTACATATGTATAAACAAATATTAGGAGTATCCTTCATGTTGTGCAATGCAAAGAAGTATCTTATGTAATACCCAATTGCAAATAAATTCAGCAAGTTACTGTATACAATAGCACTAATTGAGTTTCTATTATCCATGTACTTTAACCTAACATTTAACATTGAAAAATCAAGTAGAAGCGCTAAGAGAGGGCAGTCAAATTTGCTGACAAAATGAAATTTAATAGTTCCACAGCACAGTCTTCCTTCAAAGTTCTGCCTGGGTAAACTTTGGATCAAATCCAAGAACAAATGAAGAAATATAAGCTCTTTGTGAAAAAAAAATGCAAAAAATGCCCTTCAAATATTAAGTAGTCTATGATACATTAATAGAAATGCTAAGAGATCTGCAAATGATTAAACCTGTTCTTCAAAATAAAGATCCTACAAGGTATTAAAAATTAATAAACTGATTATGACCTAAGTTTTCCTGGAGAAATTCTTAAGCCAGGCTGGATAACCTTAGATCTAAGTGACAATGTGACCCCCAAATTTCTTTTTCTCTCATATGTTCTCAGAAATGACTCAAGGACAAAAGTACACTAATCTATCCTGTTTGAGTCGGAGTCATGAAAATTAAGCCAAACTATAACAAAACCAATGTTGAAATATTCCTCTGTTCACTGCACCCCAAAGCATTATCTTGCTCCTTTATGCTTTCATAGAGTATCTGTATAGAGTAAACTTGGTAGCCTCCATAAGTGTTAGATTTCAGTTCCCTTCAATCAATGCTAGTAGAGATTTACTAGGGATTTTGGAGTTATTGTGATAGCAAAGGCTGGCATAATAAACCTAAAGATATATTAATCTTTAAAAGGGATGTGTGTCTCATGATATAGATAGCTATATTCTTGAGAAGTCTTTCACACAGTCAACTGAATCCCAGCTTTAGCCATATTTATTTGGCATAGACCCAATTAAAATAATTTACATATTGTGGATTTAAATGGGTTTATACTAAACTTGACTTTATCTGGATTCAACCCATCAACTCAGATGATTTTTTTTAAAAAAAAATTAGTCAAGTGAATAATCTTTTAAGCAAGCTAAGATACAGCTAGCACTGTGAAAGAGCAGGAGGATTTTTTCATCTCTTGGCTCGAATTTATTAATGCTTAGGTATTTTCAAGGTAAGGCAGATATCTGTAGTACTGGTAAGTAAAAATATTGCAACTTGTGCAATCTTTGCAAAGGTTAGCTACTTTCTGTAAACTGATCCAAAGAATGAAGTGTGGTGGCAACAAATGGATATGACATATTTTGAAACTCTAGATCAAGAATTTCCAATCTTGGCAACTTAAGATGTGTGGACTTCAACTCCCAGAATTCCTGGCTGGGGAACTGAAGTCCACACATTTTAAAGTTGCCAAGATTGGGAACCTCTGTTCTTGGTGATACAGTTTTTTTAAAAAGGTATGTTTGATATCTCATTTACTATGTTGTAATTACGTGTGTTTTAATTTGCAGTTAGATAAAATCCATTCAATTAATGATCAGCTTTGGCTTGTCCTTTTTTCCAGGTGGATCAGTGCCTTGCAAGCTTCAGTCAGTAAATGGCTTCCTTGGAACAAGGCCTCAGAAGACTTCATGCATTGATTGCTATAAGAAGTACAATGTGAAAGGAAAACTCAGACTTCTGTACAACTATTGGTACGGGCTTTTGTTATGAATTTTCAGAACATGAACGCAGCTGCTGGCATAAATTCTTGATCATGTCCTGGTATCCCATGAGTAGCAAATCCTCTATTTGTTGATTTTTTTGGAAGCATAATGAATTAAAGACTTTACACTCGAATGTTCCTTTATTTATTTCAGCATCTTCTCTTTCATTATTTGAGACAACCCACTGAGTACCTGTATCATTTGTATACAACTTGTTATGCTCTCATTTTCACCGTTAAGAACTTAATTCTCTTGATGAGGCTTGCTAGTTTCTCCTTGGAGTTGTCATTTCCTTTTAGGGGATTAAAATGAAATTTTCCTGAATAATATTGCTTATTTCCACTAGCCCCTAGAGTTTTTAGTGTGTTCATGGGACAATAGTTGTTATAAATAGCAGCGTGTAATTTTGTGCTCATGCAGTGCTGCTGACTTAATTATAGGTATCTCTTGTTACTTGTAACATCTGATGTTTCTCACAGTGGTGGGATGGTATGCTCTCTTCACAGTTTCCTCCAAATTCTGATAAAATCATAAGGGATAGTTTTAATGTCTGGGGATGTATCCAAAAGGTTGCTTGAGTAGAAGATAGCTCAGCTGTCGGTTCTTTCTTTTAGATCCTGCCTTCACCAGGCGGTATGTAACATGAGAAGAAAGAGGGATCTTCTGCTATTTTCCACCCCTTCTGGTTTTTTTTTAAATAATTTTATTAAAATTTTAATTACATTAGTAAAAAAAATAATACAAACTAAAAGAGAAAACTAGAAAGGTTCAAGAAAGCAAATATAAAAGAAGAAAATAAATAGATGGGGGGGGGGAAATAAGAAAGCAAATTTCCACCTCATCACAAGCATAAACAATTTTACCTCCTCTTACTTAACAGATATAAAGCTCTTCACCCATAAGTCATCTCTTGACTGAAGGCAAATCCAATGAATAACATCTGCGCCAATTCAGTATGAGCAAAAAACCCCACAAGAGTGCTAAAATAACATTAGTTAACATATATAAAATTAAACATTGCACATCTTAATTTTAGCTATAAGTACATTTAAAAGGCATAAAGTGGTCCGGAGATCCTAATGTAAACAAAAGACTAAAGTTTAACATGACATCTCTCCTTTAAAGAGAAGGAGCTCACAAAGATGTCTTATTTTAAGTGGAAAGACAATTAAATACAAAATCAGTTTAAATCCTGTCAGATTAAAATATATAAAGTAACTGTAAGAAAAAGTGTAAAATGTAATACATAACATTTTTCCATTCCAGATATCAACAGGTCCAAAGAGAACAACACCAAATAACAATATGACCCATTGTAATATTTATTGTAATAAACATTCCATATTTCAATTCATAACTATAAGCAAATCCACATTTAGAAGGCATAAGTAGTTCCGATATTCTAGTATGAACAATAAAATGTAACATGACAAAGAAGGATAATTTCTCCTTTAAAGAGAAAAAGCTCACAAACATTATTCAGCTTAAAGGGCAGATATAAAGCCAATTTAAATGTTATCAGATTAGGATTCATAAAGTAACTGTAGAGGAAAAACTTTGTTAACTGAAAACAAATCTATACAGAACATTATTCCAGTCCAGATGTCAGAAAATCCAAAAAGAACCTGTCAAAATAACATGTCCCCATTTTAACCCTGATTATATTAACCAACTTTGTGGTCCTTTGACATAAACCAATTTTGCTCTTTAATCCATTCAGATGATTGATGATTCTTGTTTTGAATTTCTCCAATACTTTAAAAACTTTTGTGGGTCCAGCAAAGGAAATTATTCTGATTGATCTCTGGGATTATCATTATATTTCCTTAATTCTTAATTCCTCACCCATTTTTTTAATGTCTAATGGCAAATTCTTGTTCAAATTCTTATTCACATTGTTTTTAGATGGACTTTGTTGCACATCTTTTTCTGTAACATCTTCTAGGAACAGACTGTTTTCAACAAGACATAACACAGCTGATATTATTGATTCAAAGTCGCAATGCAGTTCCTCAAAAAAAATTTCTACATGCCATTATAGTTGTTTGTCTTATCAAAAACATTTTTTCTTTCCCACAAGAAAGCATTGATTATTTAAAATTAATTTCAAAGTCTTAATATCCAGAGTTCAATATTCCAATGTTTCCTCAGCTCTTAATTCATTTAAACTTTCTATACCCCAAATCTCGTCTTCCTTTCTGCTGTTTATTTTAAATTATTAAAGCTTATAAAGATGCAACTTCACTTTCTTACACTGAAGATTAAAGGTACTCGGTGTTTCCAGCCTTATTTTAAACATGTCTTTAAAGCAATTAATAGGCAATTTCCTATTGCTGTCTATCAAAAGTTACCTTGTAAAACATGTGGAATGGGCATTTTTCAATTGATTTGGTGCAGGGCATGGGCAAACTACCCATCAGACTTTATTAAATTTATTGAATTTGGGGACCTCCCAATAAAAAAGAAAGGATATTCAGGCTGGCAGAAGTGGGAGAGAATGACAAGAGAAATGTGAGTAGAGAATTGACTGATTAAACACCATATTTTCAAATTTCACTGAGCTGGTCGGTGCAGACAGAGACCTGGCATACAATGGGAAAAGAGCCCTATCTGAGCCTTTCACCTCTTCCTGCAAATGAAAGTCCTGGAAAGGAGTGTCTAAGGTTGGAAGAAGAGGGACATGTGCATAGGAGCCCAAAACTGGCCATCCACCCAGCTCTTGACCACTTCAGCCATCACTTCCTCACAGATTGTGTCTACAGAAGAATTGTGGCAGAAAATGGAAAATACTACTTTAAAACTGGAAATATGTAATAAACTTGCCTCAGCTATGGATTATGCACGATACAAAGGTGACATCATAAAGACATGCTATTTAAAAATGATTAGAAGGACATTCTCTGATTACCAAAACATGAGGGACTCCTTAAGCTCCACTCTTAAACATAGTTGCTAGGGAGAAAAAACTACTGATGATATAATAGCTACCCCTTACGTTTCCCTAGACAGAGCTCTCTGCCAGGAGGATTCAAACCACAACCTTCTTCCCATCAGTAGCTTTGCCAGAAGGGAAGACTTGTGCTAAAGTGTGCTCTCTTTTCTGAAATAAGCATTACTGATTCAACAATAATTCAGAATCTTTATTATATAAATCCCAGAAGTAGGAGAATATTGGAAGCAAACAAAAACAAAAAGGAAAGAGTGGCAAAAGAGAAGAGCAATGACTTCTGTGGAGATTGATCTCAGCCAGCTCTTTCCTCAGCCTAGGATTTCCTATAACATAGACAGGGAGGGGGGGGGGGGGGGGGGGGGGGGGGAGGGAGAGAGAGAGAGAGAGAGAGAGAGAGAGAGAGAGAGAGAGAGAGAGAGAGAGAGAGAGACCCCATTGTGAAACATTGCTCCATAAAATACAGTAAAATTGAATCTATTCTGCATATATCCAGTACTGTTCTTAATCTCTTGTACATAATTCTGTTATCTCTAATCCAGATTTCTATAGGTTAGGTCATCTTTTCTGATGTGGTTTTCAGCCAACCTTGGGCTTGACATCTCATAGGAATAAAGACAAAAGACAGGGCTGAGCCCTCTCCTAAATGTTCACCCAAAAGGGGAAAACCCCACTCTTGACTGGCTTCTCAGCACCTGATTTTGCATGCTTTGGGTGTCCATATACCAAAGCATTCTTTTAACTCTTCTGGTATCTGAATATCTTGGAATGGAGTTCACTATATTATATATGTAATTGTTTGTCCTTCCTCTCTAGTTAACAAAAGGCATGATAAGAAAAAAAAAAGTGTATTCCTTTTCCCATTCCCTTAGCTCCCCTGTACATTTATTTTATTGAACAAGGTAAAACTGTTTTAAACAGACAGCTGTACAGGCTAAGCTATTCCAAGACCTAAATTATCATTTCTGGTGGCTTTTTGAATACTTATCCAGTTGTTTTAAATGAGACTTCAACATTACATCTATATGACCAATTGCTCTATTGATATAATGCCCATTCAGAAAATTGCATGAAATGTTTCACTGAATAAAGAAAATGTATTGGTTTCTAGAAAGTAAAATGTAGACAAATTATGTTTAGTACACACATAGAGTGACAATATTAAATAAGCTGCACTTTATGTAGATGTTATTTAAGGCATAACATTTAGAAATTAAATATTTAAAAATTAATATTTTACTTATTTTTAATTTTTCTGGTCACATGCAGTGTTAATGCAAGCTTTAGATCAGTTGTTGCTTCTTGTAAATTCTTACACCTAATTTGGCTAATTGCTTGAAGTTTCATACTGTTGCATCAGCTGGTTGAAGTGACTGCCAAGCTCATGCTAATGTTACTACAGAAATTTAAAAATGCATTAAGAGAGCTCACATGAATGTGAAGATACATTGTTCAGAAAATAAACGCTGAAAATCTGAGTTTCATGCTTTAAAAATGAAATTAATTGCATGAGTTGTGGGATGATTGCATTAGGAGATCTATTTGACTTAGAAATTCCTGAAGACACATTGTCCTAGCAAAAATTGAACCGTTTAGACTGGTTGAAAGTATCTAAATGGGTAAAGGTTTTACCCCATCCTTTACTCTTGTCAACTTAATATTTTAATATTAAACAAATAGCTTATGATATCAAACAAAATATTTATCTTTATTTTTAGATGTCATTAGCTTTACTTTTCTAACAAGGAAGGAAGGAAGGAAGGAAGGAAGGAAGGAAGGAAGGAAGGAAGGAAGGAAGATACAACATGGAGATTGCTACTGTTAGAAGATACTCTTTAGTGTTGCCAGTAAATTGGCTGGAACAGCAGGTTATAATTTAAAGTGAACAATTTGCCATCTGCTACTAAGTCAAAAATATATACAAAGGTCTGATCCAGTGTAGCATAGCTGAAAAACAAAACAAAGACATATAACTTTATCATTGCATGTTCATTGACTTCCTTGTAATGTACTTTAATTTCTAGATTTCATAATTTCAAGATTCATATAACATTACATCTATTAATATAGGACTGGGAGTTAAGCTGGGAGACTTTATATTTTCACCAAAAATTGTGCTCCGAGTATGAATAACATGCAAATACATAATATAAAAGTACATTTTGAAAACATAAAAACCATGAATA